TTTCCTCTCTGTATGAGAGGGATGCTGAACAAACTAGTCAAAATCACTTTTCATTTTACTTTTTATTCCACCCATTCATATGTTAAGAATAAAATTGCATGCTGTTTTAACTTTGTCTTGAGAAAAATGGCCATTTTTCTAATTCTACAAGTGGGAATGTAAAATAACATAAACTTTCTGGAGAACAAGTGACAAATATGGATCAAAGATCTTTTAAAGATATAGTGTGTGTATATGTGTGTGTGTGTGTGTGTGTATGTGTATGTATGTATATTTATCTTGCTGTATTACTTCCAAGAATTTCATACTCCACAATACTAATGAAATTTTCTCTAATGTACAATCCCAAGTTAGCAATTATAAAACTTCTACAGATCTATAGTATTAAAGTAGATATAAAGAGTTCAAATGTTTAGAAACAAGAAATTCAATGCCTCAACTACAGAGCTCTCGTTCCCACTCCACTTTTTCGTGTTCTGTGATTTCATTCCTTTTGTTTCTGACAGCTCCTTTCATAGCCTATTAAGTAAGCTTCTTTTCCAATCTTTGAATTTTCCCTGTAAGTAGTTCACACTGTTTTTTTAAATTCTATTCATCTTCTTTATAAAAGAATTGCATACTGAATTTTCACTAATCTACCATAATCTGCATTAGGAGGAAAAAAAAGTAGAAATAAAGACATGAGTAACTTTTGTGTGTAAAGGACTGTGTACCTTCACATTCACTCATCCATAGAATGAACAATTGTATATACTGAGCATCTATAATGTGGAAGGCATTCTACTAAGCTCTGAAGAAAAAACAGACAAGACCCCTGGCTCCTCTTTAGCGTATAGTCTAGTAGAACAGAATTACAAGTAAAATAATTACAAATTCAGATGGCTACTATAAGAAAAAGAAAGCTCTATGACAATGTAACAGGGCTTGGCCTAGACTGGGCCCGGGGAAGATTCCCCAGCGAAGAGATGTTCACACTGGGAATGAAGGATGAGCAGGAAGCAACTAAGCACAGGAGGAAGCAGCCCACCTAGAGCACGAGTCCAAGGCCACCTGCAGGTGCTTTCCAGCCAAGACGGAGGAACAGGCACTGAGGGGCCTGCCTCCTTGAAACAAGCAAAACCAAAACAGACAAAATAACGTGAAAAAACAATCTTCAACACACAGGACTTCAGGCAATGGAGGACAGTGATCCCTAAACACACATGAAGTGAGTCTAATGGATGCCCCAGTGCACGGCCTTGGGAGAATATCCAGGCT